TTGTCGGGATGGCGGCGTTTTTGACACACCGGCCGAGTGGTGTGCAAGGAGATGTTTGTCGAACCCGATTCGTCATGAAAGGTACCGTCTATGTTTGTTTCAGTGACCGTGGTTCGAGTGTAACCGAGCCGTCACCGAGGAGCTACTCGGTCCAACCAAGTGGGGTACTCCTTTGAAGGGGTGCTTAGACGGAATACAAATACTTTGACGGAATCGCTAGTACCGCCTTGTTCCCCCACGAAACGGCCGCCTTCAAGCCAAAGAGCGAGCTGAGGACGAAGCCGCGCTCCATGAAGGAACCGCCGAACGCTCTCCCGGGGTCACGGTGGAAACCGTGAACATGGGATCGCCTGACCCCAAACGAGCTTTTTCGAGTGGAAACACCAAGGGACGTGGAGGGTCGATCTCCTTCGAAGGCGAAGAAGCCCCCGGCCTCGCCGGGACCTTCCGAGCGATACCGGCGGATCTTTCAGCACCCCCATCCCGGGTCATCAGAAGACCGCTGCCCGCAAGAAAACACCCGAAGGCTCGCTGAACGAGGCAGAGAGAGCCCGAAAGATCTCGGAGCTGGCCGCCAGGAACGAGCTAAGGAGGAAGTCGCCAGAAGAAAAGCGGCTCCGGCAGCAAACTATGAGCAAGAACGAGCCACTGAGATGGACCGTCCGAAGCTCCTACGTGAACCGAGGCAGCCGGAGCCAAAGAGGAAGGCGCTGAGGACCCATACAGCCAGCAGAAGCAGAGGTTCAGCGACGCGTGAACAAGCCCTGGCCGCCAAAGCTCGCCAGGAAGGACATCCGAGATAGGCACCCGGGGACAGGCGCGGTACGCTCCGACGGACACCAGGCTTCTCCCCAGTGAGTACCATCCGTCCAAGCAGCGCTGTTTGGTACGGGTTATGTGAACGGGGTCAATGAGCATACGGAGTGTTCAACGAAAGCGCAAGATGCAGCCTTTCGCCAGCGATAGGATTCTTGCCTGTGCCCGCAGCACGGCTGCCCGAACCTGGGAGTGGGAGAGTGCCGAACTCGCCCAAACAGCTACAACGCCCCGGCCCCCGACGAGATCCGGCAATGGGAAGTCCCTGAGCCGCCAATAGTCGAGTGGTACAGCAATCCAGCCGGCCACACCACCATGCTCGCCGGAAACGACCCGTCTACCAAGGACAAGGATGCGATCTACAACTTCCGCCATCAAGGAGGGCAAGGCAGTTCTCGCGAAAGGTTTGGCCCCGGAAGGAATCAGCCGCGACGGCCAAAACATTGGGCAACACCATGCTAGATGTATTTTCCCTACCAGGTAAGACACGGACCGCTGAACGCGACGATGTAACCAGCGAAATCAGATATTCTCTCTTCGCCGCCGTCATTCGCCAAACTGTCGACGACGAGGAGGTGCCCCCCGACTCAAGTGGCAGACAGCCTTCTCAGAAACCAGTCTCAGCCTGCAAGAACGACGAGGACCTACGGGACATCAAGCGAGATGTGGAAGAAGTGGAGGAACAACACCTTTGCGGTCCATCGAGCAACAACGCACACCATCCTCGTCAGGAACGACTACCCTCTGAGCCTCGACCGACACCTGGACTAGCGGGGATTTATGGCCACACATCAACCGCAAAGGGAATCAATTATTACAAAGCCTCTCCTTGACCACTCATTCAGCTTCGTCCGGCCAAGGATGGAACCCCACCAACACGCTCATCGAATACTATGTGAAAAGTGGGCATCATTCGGGACAATTCCATTCCCGGATCTCTCTCTTTTTCACCGGACCCTAAGGAAGTCACACTGTGTGACCCGCCGCTGCGTCATCAAACTCTAAGTCCATGCTTACTTTTCTTCAGAGTAAGGTTTGGCGAGGGAGGCGGTCACTGTCGGGCAGCAGATACTTTTTCAGGTTGCGGACGCTCACACTAATTACCCCCAGTCAAAAAGGAAAATTGGTGTCGGGCGGCTGCAACTCTGGTTCAGAAAAAGTGAACCTGAACCTGATTTGTAGCCGCCCGATTAGTAGTCCTTCTAGCTAGTCATCAACACCACATAGGCACACCACCTGTGCACCCGACACTTCGGTCCACCACCTCATCCTTGGATGAGTGGCTCTCCCGGATTCCTGTCCGTCAGTCTCCCTTATGGTCGGCTCCCTGTTAACTCATACTCTCCGTTCTGTAGAATCTCTTCATTCCCTGTCTGGGAAGGTGGGCGTCTTTCGCTAAATGTCGGAAATGTCGGAATTGTCGGATTTAGCGATTCAAGAAACTTTACGACATTCTACGACATTGGTTAAATAACGACGACATTCTACGACATCGATGTCGGGATTTACGACATTTACGATATTAAAGTCTCTTGGAAAATAGACTTATGAAATGATGGGTTAACCCCTTTACGACTTTTCCAGGAGTGTTCCTGGTGGTTCTTAACATGCGGTCAAGGCTTACAGTACTGTACCAGGTAAGAGTATCTTGCATGGACATCATCATGGATCTTCTGGCTTATTTACATGCATTTTACTAGACTAGCTAGTGTACTGCAATGCTAAACTTCGCTGCAGAAGCGCAAACTCGAAGTGGAAGCATTAGCCGCGAGCTGGACCTCACGAATATGGTTCGCCTTTGAATCTTGCTGCCTTCCTTCCGGTACTTCCTAGCTCCTTGCTTCCGACGAACATTGGACTCAAAGCTTGTACAATTTTGGAAGCCTTCAGTAGGCCAAGCCTTTCCAGTGGACAAGAAGCCAAACTTAGCTTCAGGGGAGACAAGTAGGTCCGTCCCTGGGGACCTGATGTTTCGTTACCATTATCCTTGAATGAGCAGCCTGGACAAGTGAAAGTCAAACCTAGCTAGAGAACATCGTTCGGCAGTACAAATGTTGGGTCTTGAAAGCAATGACTTTGGCAAGAAGTTCTCGAGAGCTTTGCTTTTGGGACTCATCGACCAAAGGACATCTGGCTAGCTAGCCAGCAGGCAGAAGACCATTTGGATGCACCCAGCGCACGGATCATGGATGAGGTGTTTTCATTTGGTCCGCTTCCCGTTGATGGAAGGGTGTGCTCAAGAGGCGGCTTCTTCCCAGCAGCAGCAGCATCTTTCCATGTTGTTGTCGATTCGTGACGGCATCCCTGCGGCTCGCATGGTTTTGCTTAGAAGGACTCTCTTTCTTTCCACTGTTAGCTCGCTTCTTCAATGATTTCTTTCCATTGTTTTGCGTTATGTATCCAAGGTATTGAGCGAGAGCAAAGATCCAAGAAGACTGGTGCTAGTTGCTGCTGGCGAAAACAGGCAAACAATGACGAGGATCCCTCAAAGTCGAAGGATAATACCGTACAATAATAATGCACACTTTGAATTTTAAAACTATGTCCGAAGCAGGAGTGCGCCACGTCACTCGGAATGCCAGCTACGGTGGCCTGCAGCTTTTAAAGGTGAACAGCTCACTCACAGTACATGCAATGTACTGTAAGTAGAAGCGAAGCCATCATGAGATCATGAGCCATGCTAGCTATCCGGGCCATAGAAACCAAACCCCGCCTCTCTTCATCTTGCTTTCAGATTTGATACTCATTGAGAAGAAATTGATTCTTTGCCAACCTCATTCTTTGGGATCAGCTCTGGACCATGGAGCCTCTCTTACCAATGCTTGACAGCAACAGCAGTGTTCCTGTTACCACATTAGCAGATAATAACACTGCAGACATTCAGGAAGAGTGTGATCCAGTGACACCTGATACCACAGTTGTTGATGGGGACCTTGTGAATAGAGAATTGGCTGTTCAAAGAGAAACAATCTTTCAGGATGCAGGTCTTTCCTTGGAGCGATTCCCTCAGTCTTCTGATGGGGAAGATCTGATTGATAAGCTCTTGGCAGATGAAATGGAGAAGCTGTCGGTTGAAGAAAAGGAGCGTACCACGTTTGACATCCATGGGATGGCCCATGAATCTAACGATCCTGAGAACATAGATGAGCTGCTTGAGCAATTGGAGCAGGAAATTCGAAAGATACCCAACCGAAAAGCGTATGAAAAAGCCAAGTATTTGAATGAAGAATATGTAACAGGTCGGGAGTTTCGGCTCATGTTTCTTCGCTGCGATAAGTTTGATGTCCAGGCGTCGGCACAAAGAATAGTAACACATTTGGAGAACAAGATGGATATTTTTGGCGGTGGACCTGCCTTGGCCCGAAAGCTGCGTATGAGTGATCTCAATAAAGATGATGTGAAGTCCCTCAAATCAGGGGCCTGGCAGCTCTTGCCTGGGTGCGATGCTGCCGGCCGTCTGGTCTTGGCATTATCACCTACTTGTATAGACGGATCTCTGGCTGTGGAATGCCATGTATGTATTGGGGTCCAAAGTGGAGCGGAAATGCAAGCTCTCGGAATCCACAGTTTGGTCCCTCACATTTTATTGTCATTCTTTCTGATTCAAATGCAGCAACGTGCCATTGTGCTTTTCATAATGTCCATTCTCCAAACTGAGATGGCACAAAAGAAGGGCATTGTTATTGTGATGTGGTGGTCAGGGCAATCTCTGCTACAAGTACAACAAAGCATATTCACCCAAGCACAGCTAATGAAGAAACTCAGGCCTGGGATCCCTCGCAAGGTGGCTGGTGTCCATATCCTGCTCAGCCAAAAATTTCTACGTCCGTTGGTTGGTGGCATTCATTGGTTTCTCCACGAGGAACTGAGGGCTCGAATCCGAGTTCACTTTGGGGACTTTGAAGAGCTCAAGTTTGCATTGCAGACCTTTGGAATCCCAACTGATCGTTTCCCATTCCGTCCAAAAAATGAACCCATTGAGATGGAGCACCATCTTCAATGTATTCAGAGCTGGAGCAAGCAGGAAGAAAAAGGCAACACAAGCATCGATATAATAATTCCCCGTCGATTTGATGTCCTGTTTGGACGAGGACTTCATACAAGGAATCACACCGGCAACCTTAGAGCTGCACATATCGCTGACATGTTTCGAGACAAGTATGAGGCTGCGGGAAAGTATGAAAAGACAGCAATTGCTGAACGGATTGTCACAATTATCCGAGAATCACACGGCCGTTTTTTGAAATGGGAAGATGATGCATGGGAAAGAGTGGACCAAGAAGCCGCACGGAACAAGGTATGTACAAAAATTTATTTAACTGTTGGCACAGAAGGAAACGGGGGTTTCAGAGTAGGGAGGTTATCTATGTACGGACGCCAGCGAGGGCCAGGCTTAGGCAAAGAAGAGCCGGAAATGATTTTGCTGATTATTCTCACCCATTCCTTGCTTGTAGATTTCCCACTTTTTTCGGAACACACGGAACACAGGTTGCCCCAGCAAAAGCAAGGCATCCCCATCTGATGGCTCTACCAGTGGTGGAGAGACCAGCTCAGACGGAGATTCGTTGGCTTCAGCTTTGTCCAAGCGGGCGCAATCAGATTCAATGCAACAATCGCCACAGCGAATTCAGAAACGGTACCAACGGGATAGCTAGCATAAGCTAGCTTAACGTTTCGCCAAAAGATGATATATTTGGCAGATAGCTGACAGAGTCGGTAGACTTGGGGGGGGGGGGGCAGATCCGACTGGTGTCGAAAACCAGTTGTTGGAATGAGGGCCAAGGTTGCAGCAAGGACCTGCTCATGGGCATCCATAAGCAGAAACAGGCCGGTGATCAGGCTGTGATCAGTACTCAAGTGTTATGATGGACTTGAAGAATCTCGTCGCATTGGTTGTCATCCGGATCAAATGCCCAAAGGACTGCCGGGCCGTCATCATTGTCCTTGCGCGTCCACTGGATCCAGAAGGTACCCTCTTCTTTTCCCTTCCACTGGATTGGATGCGCTGGACGGATGTATCGATGACCTTTGAGAGCAGAAAAGGCACTATTGACTTTGTCCGAGGCAGATGTAGATCCGGGACCCACCATCAGTTGATGTGTGGCGCAAGAACAGCGCCGTGCCCCTGAATGCCATTCGTTGCGTACCAGTACATTCAATGCGGCAGAATCAACGGCATTGGACAAATCTTTGTTTGTCACCTCACTTTGACGACGTCAAGATTGTCTTCTTCCAAAAAACGGTCAAATACCACCTTCCCCGAGACGACCGTCCGATCGACCAGAACGTCTGCAATCGTCTCCACCGGGATTTCAAAGAGATTGCGATCCAACACAATGAAATCAGCAAGCTTTCCGGTTTCAATGGAGCCCACTTTCGACGGCCAGTCAAACCCCATGCATTTGGCGGACCCAAGAGTACAAGCTTCAATAGCCTGTTCGACGGAAATGGCCTGTTTGATGTTGTGTGCTTTGGTGCTGCCTCTTCCTGGAAGTTTGCGTGTAATCCAGGTTTGTAGATACCAGAAGGAATTCGGTTCGGGTATGATGGAAGAAGGCCAATCGGACCCGAGCCCGGTTGCTGCTCCCGCCTCCACAGCGGCGCGGACATTCAACTGACTCTGATACCGCTTCTCACCCACAGGTGCCTTCATGAGCCCCTCCAATTCTGGAACGACCACTCCCAGAGCAGGTGAAAAGTCTACAGAAGCTCCTGGTATTTGAGCGAGTCGAGCCAGATCTTTTGGGTGTGCCATGACGGCATGAGAAAGATGCAGGGCGGCATTATTGGTTTGGATCATGTTGCTTTCTTTTTGGTGGATTTGTGCAAAGATATCAATGAGTTCTCGAGCAGCCCCGTCACCCAAACATGAACAATGACACCAATTCCATTTTGATGGATTCTTTGAATGGCCCTGGCAAAGTCGTCTTTGGACTTGTGCGCCGAGCCCTTGAATCCAGGCTTCCCTTCGTAGTCTCCAGCAGCAGGGCTGTGTGACTGTCCAGGGCTCCATCGTCAAATATTTTTATACTGCGCGCGTCCAACGGGTCCGTGGCCCGATCCTTCCACTGCTGGGCATATGCTTCGGCGTCGTCTGCCGAATGAGGAGCATAATGCGATCCCCAATCCCACGACAGCATCATGCGGCAGTGTCAATTGATGTTTCTCTTCCAAGAGGGCGGCTCCTTGGGCCCAGTTGAGTCTCCCCTCGGCCAATTTGACCGTGGTAATGCCAGACGAGTGGAGCATTTTCTGAATCTTACAAATGCCCGGCAACAAGCGTTCCGGACTGGTGGGCGGGAGAATCTTTTCCACATGGCCTATGGCATACTCATCAACCTGTCCCGTGGGTTCTCCCGTGCCGGGGTCTTTGGAATAGGTAAAGTTTTTGGTAATGGGAGAGTCTTTGGTAATACCGGCCATTTCGAGTGCCTTGGAATTGAGCCACGCACTGTGACCTGATTGAGAGTAGAGGAAGACGGGCCTATCGGGGACAATTGCATCTAGCAGAGCTTTGTGCGGATTGTCATTTGGCAACACGCCCAGATTCCATGCGGACCCTCGAATGATGGCAAGATTTGGGTTGTTGTCAGCGTAGGCTTTGATTTCAGCCAACATGGCATCTGGATCACCGCGTTGTTGGATTTGTAGATTGGCCAGATCATCAGCTCCATTCAAGGCACGGATGTGTGCATCGATGATTCCTGGCATGACAAATTTGTTCCCCAGATAACCTCCCTCTGTCTCATTGGATCCACCGAATTGGGCCAGAATCTCTTCGTTGGAAGTGCTCACACCTACAAATCGCCCCTTCTTTATCGCGACGGCCTTGGCCCATGGTTGGTCTGGGTTGACGGTGAAGATCTTGCCGTTGATGAAGATAGTGTCGGCTTTTCTTTCATCTTGCTCCGTGACTTGCATTTTGCTAAGAATGCTTCAAAGACTCCAAGAAGGAGGAGCCAAGAGTCCAGAGAAAGATAACGGACGGAGCCAGAGACCTTAGCTAGCAACTAGGTCTCCAGACGCCTAGAGTGGGACGGTTGGAACAAGAAGAAGTGAAGACCGACGCCATCGTCACAAGCCATCAGCCGCGTTGGCAACGTGAAAACTTCTTCAGGAATGAGTGGTCTGTCTGTCTACCGTACGGCTGTATCGGTACCGGTTCTCAAGGTCTAAGACCAAAAGGTCCAAAAGTGCGAGCGCTCGAAATCAAGTTGTGACCATCTCGCTTGCTGGCTTGGTTGGAGCTATGAAGAGATACTAGTAGCCACCCGTACTGTAACCGAAGACCAACCGGTGCTGTAAGCCAAGTCTGACCCTGGCAGGAATCTTCCTTGCTCTAGGCAGTGGACAAGCTCGAACCAAAAACGATGACAACCTACCCTTCCGGTAGCTTGCTCCCTTCCTTCGCATGTACTACATGTGAGTGAGGAAGCTTTCAACGCAGAACCTCGAGGCTTTCAGACAGCGAGGCTCGGCAAGGAGTGAAGACTCAGACGGAATGGGTCTCTGTTCTCGAGCAGTGACTTGGCCTGGGGAAGCGAAGCGTGAAGGTCCATTAGCAAAACTTGTCGACATGTCGGACATGGATCCGCGGCATGAATGCACCCCAAATTTCTATGTGCCCCGATTCGAAATGACCGCTTCTTTTGTGGGCTGCGTCACGTGATTTAGCCGGTGCAACGAGTACAACAGCACAGTACAGTATGTACGGTATCTGTGCCGGTCCAAGTAGGTACCGGGATGCAGTCATTCCTCGTTTGGTACCGGGCAAAGATACTCCCATGAAGCTTTCTTGCAAGTGGATGGTTATTTCATTCAGATACCCTCGCGGCGTCTCTTGCTTTGGATGGTGAGATTGTACCTACAACAACATAATGGTAAGAGAACGGTGCCAAGTGAAGTGGTCCCATAAATTCTTTCGTCTCAGCAATCGAGATCCTCAGCTAGACTATCTAGGTAGTTGTTTTATTCACTACAATATCACACCCCAACAAACGGACCAAGAGCGGGAAAATGAAGTTCATGGCCCTTCTTTGCCTGCTGGCGGCGCTTTCGCCGGTGGCTGGAAAGAGGCTCAAGTCGCCCCAAAACCTTCCAAGCGAGCTATCCTCGGTAAGTAGGAGTGACATGGCATTGTGTTTGGTGGCCTTCCCACAAGCTAAGAGCAAAAGATCCTCATTCGATTCGATTCTGATTCATTCCATCTGCATCCTGTTCTGTGTTGACCTCAGGAGCTGGAGACAGCATTCGCCGCCGTTGCTTCGGACGACAAGAACAGCAACTGGACTCGCCTCGTCGAATCCATTTCCCATCTAAGCGCTCTCGCCACTGACAAGCCCAAGAGTGGATCTTCTGGCCCGCCTGTCCTGGATGAAATTGAACACTTTGCCACCACGGCGGATTCCCTCTTGACTGTCATTGACGTTTACAACAGTACCATTCTGGTTGATCCCAACATGGATGCTCCGACGCAATTCCACATGGTCCTTCACCAGGTGAGGGCCGGGTTGATCGATGTTCACACTTTGGCAGCGAGAATGCTCCAAGACATGGCCGAAATACTCCGAGAGGAGAAATCTCCAGCACAAGCGTCGGCATCCAAGTTTGTCGAGAGGCGTCTCCAGCAAGAACTCAAGGGCAACAGTCGTCATCGAGGAGGAGAAAAGCATCGAAAGTTGCAGCAGCTCAAGCACAAGGTCAAGTCCAATGGGAGCCCCAAACTGCGTCATCATTTTGCCTTGCAGGATGCCCTTCTTGCTGGAAACACGGAGTTCTTGCAACGCAGAATTGATCGTTTGAATCGGAAAATGAATGATGGTGACCATCGACGCTTGCAGGTAGCCGATACCTTTGACGAGAGCTGCGCCGAGTTGGTGGAATGCCTGCAGGAATGGTGCGTTCCAGCTACCGGTACATTAATAGCTATCTTCCCCCGCCTTCTGAAAAGATGCCTGGATCCAATATGCATCACACTGAAGCTCACATTCCGCTGTTTCGACTAAATGATGTTGTAGGTCTCTCTACGATGTGGTCATGTATTTCTACTCACCTTACATTGACGACGACGGGGTGTTGTCAGATGACTTTCAGAACGTTGATACTTGGGTGGATGGCGGGATTTGGAACGACGTGGAAGCCATCACCAACGCGTTGAATGCCATCAATCTGGACGAAACCGACGCGGACACCAAACGGCAGCAATGCGCCAACCTCCTCGAGCTCTTTCACACCAACGAAGACCAGGACAGCTACGAAGAGTACCACCCGGGGACGTGGAGATCCGTTTGCCGAGCTGAAGGAGCCACCAAATATGTTCAGTTTGCCTACTTGCAAAACATTTCCGAAACGGTGACCAATCAAGTATTTGACGATCTGGTGTCGTGTGCCACGCGCCTGGGCGAGTCCATGTTTTTTAGTTCCAAAGACAACCCCCGGCTTCCGACTGGGCTTTCTTCGCTCGGCGGCTCAGGAAGGGACGAACACGGCAAGGCCGTGACACCAGCCGAGCCTTGGACGTACTTTGACATGGAGTACCTGAGTAAGTTCACACATGAAGATGACTTTCTTGCCTACAATTGATCGCTCGCTCACACTTGCTTGCCTGATGAAAGCTGTCATGGGTTCGGCTTCCATGTGGCGTGGTCAAAAGTTGACCGACGCGAGTGATACAGAGTGCATTGATCTGGTGGACGCATACTACAAACCACTTCTGGTGGACGGAGGAACGCGAATTTTCACGACGCAAAAGAGAGAATATCCGTCAATATCCATTGCATGTGAACGTGGAAATGTCAAATCACCTGCTGAGGTGACTGAGGAATACACTGTGAGTTTCACCTTTTACGCAAGTTGCTGCGTGCTTCCAGCCACTTGTTCTGACACCCGTGCCGTCTTGTATGTTAGGGCACGACCTACACGCCAACTGGGCAGTACACCTTGAGGTCGGACGAAGTAAGCTGCCCCGCTGGAACATACATTTTGACACCAGATGAATGCCAGGCGGCTGGGTTGGCAATGGGCGGGCAATTGCAGGGCGGAAGTATTGGAAATATTGGAACTATTGTTCAGGGTGCTTGGGGAGACGAATATGACGGCATTCCTGCAGGATGCTCTCTTCAGGCTGGAGGAGTCATCCATTTCAACACGCATTGGACTATGGGGCCTTGGAAGAATAATGGGTATCAAAGCGTCTGTCGCACAGTAAGTTGAAAAGGCGACATTGCTTTCAGGGGTTGTTTCCTATGCGGAGCAGTCTGTTGTGGCTCACCATTTCTCCTTCGCCGCTCTTGCTACTGGAAGAGTGTGATATATCAAACGTCTCTACCGGGGTACGATGACAGATGCCCCCCTGGAACAGAGATTATGACGGAGGAAGAGTGCGGAGATGCGGGCAAGTATCTCGGGGGAAACTTGAGAAATGGTGCAGTGTATGTGGACTATGCTGGAGTTGTTCCATGCGGCTGCTCCTACCAGAGTTCGGGTGATGGTGCAGTGCATTTGGGTGCAAGCGGCACCTGTGGGAACGGCGTTGGCTATACACCTGTTTGTCGCTATGTGAGGGAACTGAACTGTATATTGCCCTGCCGCAGTCATGGAGAGCATATCTATGTCTTGCTCACATCTTTTTCGCGTTCCGGTCGCTTCGGACTTCTGCAGAAATACTTAAAACCGGAGGCGGATCAGTTTGACAGATGCCCCACAGGAATGGAGATTTCAAGCCTAGAGGAGTGCCATCGCGCCGGACTCATGATGGGTGGAAGCCTTCGCGATGGCAGCGTTGTTTCCCGTGGTTCTGGGTATTCATTTCCCTGCGGTTGTTCTTTGGAGACTGGTCTTGACAATGCTATTCACTTTGGAAACGGTAATAATTGTGCGAGTACAACCGACGGATCGTCATGGAACATCCTCTGCCGGGATGTAAGTACCCCGTGCCACTTCCGAGTTCTGGAGGTCTGACACAGGGAAGTCATCTCAAGGCAACAAACAACATCTTACACTGTAGTTCGCTTGTTGATGTGTTCAAACTCGTTCGAGAAAAGGATGGAAGATACTCCATTGTGAAACCAGCACAGATAGATAAGTGCCCCGATGGTATGGATATTGGGGATGCCGCAACTTGTCGGGAAGCTGGTCTGCTTCTTGGCGGGAAACTCTTGGACGATGGGAATATCGAGGGAGCAAATGATTCGTCAAGACCATGTGGTTGCTCAATCTACAGGGGTGACTATAGGATTTCCTTCAACTTGGCAACTTCCTGTTCCGCAGCAAGCGGTTCATACATCAGTGTGTGTAATCAGGTGAGAAACTGAATTGAATCCTGTATTCCTAGTTTCTGTTCACATTTGGACACGGGATCATCCTCAGCTGTGACAATCGCTGCACGTGAAATGTGACCCACGCATCTTTATGCAGAATTCCTACTACCATCCAGTCGGAGGTTCCTGCCCCGTCGGGATGACTTACGTTGACGGTGCCTGTCGTAATGTAAGTCAGTGAGCTGTATTGGTGTGTTTGGTTTTGGCTTGCGGCTCAACCTTGTGCATGAATCTGTTATACATGTGCTTGTCACAGAGGAAGTATTTTGAAGTGCGAGATGATACCAAGGAAAAGTGCCGGGACGGAGCCGAAATAACCTCAGAAGAGGAGTGCAAAAGAGCTGGCCTTCTCATGGGCGGAATTCTCTTGGACGAAAAGATCCAATTAGGTCCACCGTGTGGTTGCTCAATTATGAAGACGTTCTTCAATGCTATTAGCTTCAATTCAGGTGACAATTGTGCGAAAGACTCTCGATACACAAATATTTGTTATGACGACACGCCTCAGGATTGGTACTGCGACGTTAGCGTGGGTGATGTCGAGGTTTGCAGTAATGTCCGGTTGGGCGGAGCTGACGACGTTTGCCCTGCGAACTCTGAGGCCATCAGTTTGAGCAATCCTTGCACAGGCGATGAAGTGCATGATGTTTCGACTATCTTTCGTCTGGCCACAGACCGTGATCAAGCAGCTGAGTTGGCCCTCGGTTCCAAGACATCTGTTGGACTGGTCTGTGCGTACGCCGAGACAACAGGGTTGCCTGTAAGTCCCAAGCTTCAATGATGGTGTCTCAGCAGATCGTAACTCACAATCTTCGTGTTCAGGGATACTGTTGTCTTGACGCTCCTTTCGAGCGGGAGGACGCTTCCTGGGGAAACGAGTTTTCGTGTGATGATGGAGAGGACCAGTGCAACAACAAGGCCCCCGGGTTGGCTGCGTTTAGCGAGGAGGCCTGTGCTGTCTACTCAGGCACGCATTGTGCTTATGCGCGCGATTGCACTGCTCTGAAGACGTGCATCGACGATGAGATCTCTTGGGCAGAGTCAAATTCTCGATCTGCGTACAAGGGATATTTGTCTGACGCTCCGAACATCACCGATACTGGCGACTCGGACCAATGTGGCGAAGTGAGAGAATAGTAAGTGGTGAATTGATTGTGTGCCTTGCTCTCGACTTCATGATGTCTTATCGATGGAGCTCGACGTTGTGTCTCGGCAGTTTTGGCTACGATTCAGATTACCCGGACGATGACGAAATCTGCGACGACGTGCAGTATCTGAGGTAGGTAGAATGGTTTCGTTCAATTGTCACTTGTTGTGGGGCGCATTCCTGAGATGGACTATACATGTACGAATGTTCCCCCTTTGCGTTTCCAAATCCTTTCGCAGATACAACAAACAGTTTGACAACATAGACGCAACATTCGGCAGTTCAAGTTCACAGTCTGGTGTGGATGATGGGGGGTCACAGCTGGATTTGACAGCGCCTGAAACACGTGAGTTTCGAAGCTGTTGGAATGGGTGTCATTGAGAAAAGACGCGTCAAATTCTCACCGCGTGGTGTCATCCATGAAGCCGAAATCACCAGTGAGGGGTACGACGACGTTTCGAATGCACTGTATGTGTACACTCAAACTCTATCATCTCTTGAAGAGGCTTTCGATGTCATCGATTCAACCGAGTGCGCCGAGGATATGACAGGGACAACAAAAACTTTGTGTGCCTTTGCGAAAAACATCCTGTCGTATGCAGCACTTCTGGCGTTCTTCGTCGCAAGAAGGGTACGTGACAAGTTGTTGTTCCTTTGCTCCGGTCCAACCTTTGGGTACCTAAGCTCCTGTGTTGCTCGATGCTTGCACTCACAGGTATACACCGCCTTGGAGCATGAATATCCCTCTATCAGCGACTATGAACAGTACGAAGTTTACTACAACGTAAAGGTCGTGTACGACAACATGGTTGTTCTGAGCGATAGTTTGGAACAGATCAAGACTCAAAACACCAACAATGCTGAATCAATCAAGGACGACATTATTGCGCAAATCGACCTTCTTTGCGGATCGCAAGAAAGCGGCCGGCGCCTTTCCGTGGAAACTGCCACGGCGGTCAAGTTTGCTGGATGCGATGGAGTGGATCAAGATGCCGATGGCGTGATCGACAACTGTGAAGAAGACAACTTCCCACCAGAAGTTTTGGTTGGTTCGTTCTGCCCTTTGGAGAGGACGTCGAGGGAAGTTGACGGCGCCACACTGGTTGGCGGTCGAGTCTTTTCGACTGTTCAGGATGCCATGGATGTTCTACGTGCTGTGGTCATGCCTTCGGACGATTGTGCTGCCAAAGAATCTCTTTCCATGCAGTTCACGGTCGCGACGGAATCTGAATGCAACGCCACCATTTCAGCTGTGCCTCTCCACGACTGCAATGGAGTCGTCAACGCAGGACATGAAGAACTCTTCATTTTCCCTGTGGACGGTAAAGCCCCTTCTGCGACCTGTGGATTCAGCTCCTCTACAACAAAAGACAAGAAGCTTCTGCTCATCCAGGAAGCACCTGGAAAGCGAGCTGTTAATACGGAGCTTTTTTACCAGATTACGGACGCATGCTCCAAAGCGTTGAAAGTAGACGTAAAGGTGTTCAGCAACGAGTTGGACGAGGATGTCAGCGCTTACTTGGCTAAAACAAGGCCCAAGGATGGTTCCGCCCAGAAGGCAGAGCTCCACGTGCAGGCCACAAGATGCGAGAGAAAACTCAATGGCTTTTGTCACGGGGATGGTACTCAGGAGCGAGTATACGAAGTCCATGTGACGGCCACCGATGATGCTGGTTGGACGAGCCGAGATGTTTGCCGGGTTGTAGTGGCAAAGCAGCCGGAAGAGTTTGACTATGGTGCTGAAGGTGGTTCACCTTCCTCTCCGCCTGTGTTGACCGACAGCCCAAGGCGTTCGTTAGAATCAGCAGACTGCAAGTACGAGGTCGGGGCCCTGTCGTTGCATCATCCATGAGCATCCCATGATCTTGCGGCTCTGGCTGCGAATCGAATGCTTTGTACCGTACCGGTACAGCCCCAACTTGAATACATAGCTCTGGAGTTTATATCTATTGCTCATCATGTATCTGCTTCGACGACCTCACCAGGCATCATGAATCAGAGTCTCTAGCAAGTTTTTCATGTCGCTATCTGTTCATTGTAGTGGCCTGTTGTTTTTGTTCTCAACAGGCTCGATGCATTGCAAGCGTCCAGGTTGTAGCCCCACCAGGACGTTGCCAATGGAAGGCCTATGCCATCGTCCCCTTCGATCACCAAGACGATATGAATGAATGGTCTGCGAAGACAAAGACCCGAAAGATCCTCACTCGCCGTTACCTCACCTCGTTGAACCCTCACTTGGAAGGCAACGGTTTGGTTTCAATCCTCCAGTTTGTAGCCAAGACAATTGTTTTCACATTTCACTGGTTCAGGCCAAGGCAGCCACAAAGCTCAGGAGATTTAGCTAGAATATCTAGAGCTAGCTACTAGCTAGTGGTTCGACTGGGCAGACGAGAAGACGGTTCACGGAGAAAGGATTGCGGGAACATGTGACTTTGCAGAGAGCCAGAGTCGTGAAGGGGAGCCATTGATGTAGACCAGTCAAGCTAATTGTCATCTGCATCTGAGTCCTCATTTTGGCTTTCCAGCAATTTCTCTAGCAGCAGCACTGCGTCAATTTTCGTGTTGTTGGACATGTGGGGGTAAGCACAAACTCCCAAGCTCTTGCGGAGCCAAAAGATGCCCTCTTTCTCATTCACAGGCATTCCATAGTATCCTTTAGCTAAGCAAGTTCCCAACCAACACGCAGCAAAACTTGACCCAGCAGTTGCAGCCTGCCCAAGGTACATCATCCCAAGTGGATGGCATCGTTCTACACCTCGACCTCCTAGAAACGCCATTCCAAGACAAGCGGTTCCTCTTGTATTGCCAGCTTGATGGGACTTCTTGTACCATTCGAAGGACAATGACGGATCCTCTGGAAAGCCCCATGTTCCTTTTTCATAATGACATGCCACTGCGTACATGGCGTCTCCATCACCATCATTGGCTTCTTGGAGCAAGTCTTCCTTTTCCTCTTCCCCCTCGATTCTCTTGTTCCAAGCTTCAAGGAGGTCTCCTGCAATGACATTGTTCTCAATCAGAGTCTCAATCAAACTCTTGATATGTGGGGCAGGCAAGAGTTTGTCATTCATGGTCTCATTGGTGAATGGTGACTTGATTGGTAGTCCCTTTTCCCGTTGTGTCTTGAAGTAGGTCTTGATGGCCTCTCTTTCATAGGTTCGACCATCTGCAGCGGTCACAGGCACCCAAGGGAGCTCTCTCGTGATGGGACAAATGAGATCATCCGCTGGGTTCTTCTTTGGATGCTTTTCGGATGTTGTTGCACTAGTATTGCTGGATTGGTCTTCGGTAGCGTCGTTGAGTTGAAGATCGCCAGCATCGTTGGGATGGGAATCGCTGGCGTCGTCGGGTTTTGCATCGCTAGCATCGTCAGGTTTGGCATTGGTCGGTGGGGCTTTGTCGTGTTGGTCTTCGGTAGCGTCGTTGAGTTGAAGATCGCCAGCATCGTTGGGATGGGAATCGCTAGCATTGTTGTGTTGGTCGTCGGCTTCGATAGCATCGTCGGGTTTGGCATTGGTCGGTGGCGGCGCAACGCTTGCTCCATTTGATGGAGACAAATAAAAGAGCGCCAGGATGCTCAATACAACGAGTAAGAACGGTAACAAATCATAAATGCGGCTCGTCAGCTTATCGATCTCCTCGCTGGCGAGCTGGAGCGTCATGGTCGATCTCTTCTTCCGGTCAAGGAAACAGCTTTGAAATGTCAGCGGAGAAGGAAACGAGAAAAAAATGACAACGGCTTTGTTCGAAGAAACAATTCGAACCAAATCAATCGAATTATTCGATCGAATTCGCGCTCCAGCAACGACCACCAATCAATCATTCGACCCCTCATTTTTTCTGCAGGACGAAAGACAAATCCAAGACCATGGTGGAGATATCAGAAGTCTACGAAGAACAAGAGCAGCCGTGCAAGGTGCAACTGGGATTTTCCGAGGCTATCCGTCCCGACGATGCCGATTTGATTGGTCATCGATCGCCTTGTTGGTGGCAAGATTGGGATGGTGGACAAGTGGGTGGTCGGCCGAGTTGGTTGCAACCACGAGATATCCCACGGGTGACGACTTGTGCAAGCTGCTGTTCAGCACCACTGCAATTTATCTGTCAACTCTATGTTCCATTGGATCACACGCCGCACGCGTTTCATCGATCCTTTTATGTATTTGGGTGTCCCACTTGTCAAGGGATTCGAGTTTGGCGCGTCCAATTGCCACGAGAGAATCCCTTTTATCCACTGGAAGAAAACTACAACGAGGAGGATGGATGGAGCAAGCATTTGCCATCGTTTCACGGTGTTCACTTGTGTCACGTTTGTGGACAACGGGCCACTGGCAAGTGTCCTCTGCAGAAGCTCTGGTTTTGTGGCAAAAATCACCAAAAAGAATACAAACGATGCGGCAGCAGCAACACAAAGTCAAACCAAGACGAAACGACAATCAGTGCATCCGCCGACGCACCACCTGCTCTAGTAGAAGAAGAGACGGCAGAGTCATCAGCTGAAATATCAAAGGACGAAGATACCACCCAACAAAATGCATTATTCCTCCCGTCCGTTTACGCCGAATCAGAACTTTGCGTGGAAGAAGAACCACCCGCTGGCAACAAAGACGACGAAGATGATGATGACGACGATGATGAAATTGAACAACGACCAACCATGTTCCCTTCTACGACTACACCAGACGACGACAATGAACATGACAGTGATGAAGATCTAGAGCAAGAAGACCTCAATGAAATGGTCACGGGTACCAAGTTGGATCAAACCAGCACCAAGGATCCACTGACCAATGCCTTTTACAAACGAATCCAAGATCGCAAGGTACCGGAACAATGCTTGCGATATACAATGGAATGGAGGAGACGCTACGATCGGGCAGATGGCGACCAGAAGGACGAGTCCACAACAACATCCACCCAAAATGACAATCCACAACAAGATGATGATGACAGCCAACCGTTATGGATCCGATCCACGCACCAACCCACCGAGATTCCGCCGTGTCCCTACTGTCAGGCACCGCGGGCGTTTGAATTTCAGCTCATGCCACAAATGCTCCATTTTCTGCACGCCAATCGTCGACAAAACACAACACAAAACCAGTCAGAACAAGCCAAAAAGAATGAAACGGCCAAACAGGCACTGATTGCGGCACAGTCCATTATTGCCAATTCGGATCCATCACAAATTCCACCTTCCTTTGTCGATGCCAAAGCCAAGGCCATGCAAGCGTTGGAACAGGATTTGGAACAGCATGGGTCCAATCGGGTGGATTGGGGTGTCGTTGCTATCTACACCTGCACGGCGAGTTGCAGCAGTGATGATGGAAACAACAACGCCACGGACAAGAAGAATGATGGCGGGCCGGCCTATCGAGAAGAATTCGTCTGGTTGCAACCGGCGCTGGATGTCTAGAATATACTCGGTATAGTAAAGTAGACCTAAACAATGATGTTCGCTACCAACTATGTTGCTGTATGCTATGCCTGTATCGGTATGATACTGGGCAAAAGGATGCTACCAGAGTTGCCCTTGCCATCACACCGCGAAGCGATGAACTGCAGGTAGATCAGGTAAATATAGGGTTAAAGATGAATATTTCTTTAGAAGTGATGATTATATATTTGGATAAGGTTTACCGCATCTACATGTACCTGAACACAAGTTTGAATCAACCTTGAGACGCGGACGCAGCCTGCGACCTTCAGCGTCAAAGCAATGATCATGATGATTGATCATTCTGTAGTACGACTGTACTGGTACCATACTAGTTCTATCAAAGACTAATCCCAGCCTACGGCACAGTAGCTATCCGCAGCCATTTGTATCGCTAGCCGTCACTGTAGAAGAGGATGGAACTCCTCGATGCAGTGCCAGCTGCGGCCAAGGCAGAGAGGATCTGCTCGGGTTGCCAAAAAGTGGAGCCCGAAGGTGTGCGATTCGACCAGTGTCCAAAATGCTCTGAGGAAGGATTTGTTCCATCACTGTTCTGCAGTCAAGATTGTTTCAAAAAGGCATGACCACGACACAAAAAATGGCACAAGAAAGAAGCACAGAAATCAAAGGATTGTGTTGATGAACTGAAACCAAAGCTCTGCGAAAATTGTGACTGCTGTGAATATGAATATCTCATTAAGAAAGCAAAGAGAGCCATGAGTGCATATGACCTATCACGGGCCCAAAAAATCCTACAAAATGCCCGCAAACTGGCCCCAGCACGACCAGAAGCAGATTTTCACTTGGCTGCATGCTTTCAATTGTCTGGTCACTTTCATGAGTCTTCAGCATACCTTATGGTTGCATTGAAGCTTCATGCTCTTGCTGCTTTGGCTTGGACAGATAGGTCACACTTTGCAGTGTGGGCTGATTGCATTTCTGAGGTAGTGAAGAGATTTCTTCAGGATGATCAAGGAGCTGAGAAACCTGATTGGTGGTGTGATGACGGGAAACTCAAAAGGATTATAAGGGTGGCCCATAATGAACTTCTGGCTGATGACCATGGAGGCTATGATCCCAGCGCACTCTCTTTATTGTCAGACATACATGGTCTTCTCCTTGGAGGGCATTTGACTCAAGGAAAGCAAACAACATCGAAGAACAACAGCACAAATGCAGAACTGACGGAGGCATCCAAAGTCTTGCTTCGTGCATCTAAAAAGTGTGCAGATTCATCCAACATGCTGTTCTTTGGTACATGTAAAACCGTCCAGGCAGGTGCACAAAAGGAGGAGATTGTTGCCCCCGTAGGGAGCACCGAGAAACCTCAAAGTGGAGAATGGATGCTCATCGATGGCCTCACTGGTCCTGCAGGACTAGTAGCAATGAATCACAAATTGGCCTTGGTTGCCCAGGATGGGTTGCGAGATGGTCGGGTTGTTGTGGAAGTGGATGGATTCAAGGGATTGAAGTGCATTAGGCCAGAGCACCTGGACAAATTCGCAGTTGCTGAGGAGGCAGTTGCTTTCATCTCGTGTCTGGACAAAGCTGAACAGTGGAGGGTAGCAAGATACTTCGCAAGGGATGTCTTGGAAGAACTCAGCACCGACGAGCATTTTATAATGAACACCATCAAGTGCGCAACATGCAGGACAACAGATCTCTCTGTGATCCCCTGATGCCAGTCGACCCTTCCATGCGAAACTCAGGCACGGGCAATTAATTAATGCATTATCAGAGAGTGCAACGTGGTGGTGGCGGCGCATTTGCTTAGACAATGATACGTTGAGTGCTGTAGTGTTCTACTAAGGGTATAAACTATCTAAATGGCTGTGTGGAAGAATAGCTGTCTTGGCCACGGACTCGCCCGCTCATGTAGTGAATGAATGCAATCATGATGTGTCTTCGGAAGTGCGTTTCGTGCTCGCAAGAGTTGCCACGAGGAGGTTGTTCTAAAGTGGATGGAGTGATGTCGTCGTCGTTCATGCCCTTGTCGCGTTCATGCTCATGCCCGTGAATTCCACATCCACCACAACCAACTCTTGCTCATTATTGTTGTTTTTGTTGTCAGCAGCCCACGACCAGGGTGGCAGTCGTTCAAAGTCGGATGGTTTAAGAACGGCATTGGCGAGACATGCCGCCAAGATGCAGGCTCCTCCGACGTAATCGTTCATTCCAAATTCCGACTGCCCAAAGACAGTGGCGGCCAACAATGCCGCCCACAGCGGTTCACTGGCCAACAAGACGGATGCTTCCGAAGGCGGGACTCGCCCCAGAGCCGAGATTTCAATAACAAAGTTGAGCGATGTGGAAATCAATCCGGTCCAAACAACGGCGGCAGCCACCGTTTGAAATCCATCGGCAAACAAGAGCCCGGGCAACGCAATGGCTTCGTATCCGGGTTGGCCGACCCATCCATCCATGAAACACCAGAGCATGGACCAAAAGGCCGTAGTGGCAACCAACACAGATGTAATGGGCAAGACTTGATCAGGTTCTTTCTGCACCATGCGCGCACTCATGAAACAACCCGTTCCAAATCCAATAGCCTGGACGAGTGCCAACAAATCTCCCTTGCCCACACCGGCCGTCATGCCATCGGTAGCACCCCACAATTCCAAACATCCCACACCGGCCATGCACAGCATGGCGGCCAACCAGGTTTGTGGCGCGTCCTTCCATCCCATGGGTTTCTTTTCGACGAGCCATTCCAGTACGGGACACCAAAGGACCGTGGCCGCCCCCAGAAAGGACACTTTGGAAGGATCGGTATCGATCAACGCCACGGATTGTGTGACATACCCCAAGGCAGTCGCACAACCACAGAGAATTGCGGGCATGCGCAGATGCGGGGATATCTTGGGGATAAAGGGCGACAGTGCCAACGATGCCAAGACCATGCGCGCACACGTCGCGGCCGAAGCGGGGAGCGCGTCGTTCATAATGGCCCCGAGAGGAAAGTTGGTGCCGTAAATGGCCGCAATGGCCATGAGGACAATCCGCGGTCCCCAGTAGGATTCCAAGAGAGGTTCCCACAAGAGTTTGCCTTCCGTGCTGCTTCCTTCGTGTTGGGTCACTTTGTCGGTAAAGGGAGAAGGGACCGCGGGGATCTCCGCAGGAAAGGGAGCTCGAAAGAAAAAGGGAGAATTGGAGTCGTGACTGTCGTCCGGGAGGAAGGTGACATAGAGAGACACATCGTGGTTGTCGATTGGTTGCGGTTGCGAGGGATTGTAGTACAGGTTGGCATAAGGATTGTTCTTTGGTCTGATACTACCAATGCTGTTGCTGGGCACCACAGAAGGCTTCAATTGAAAGGAGGTAGCGGAGCCAACCAATAATACCGTTGCCAGGAAAGCGTTTGTAGTTCTCATCATCTTTGTTTGCTATTGTGATATTATGAAATATTTATGATGGAAGTCTTGGGAAATAAACTCCTACAATGCTGGTCAATGAATCTTATTATTCCTTGCTTGTTTGCTAGCTTGCTTACTTATCCGTTGTGTCTTCTCGTTTTGGGGGAAGCAGCTGTGTGCCTGGATATATTTGATGGGTCGCTCTGTCGCTATCTACTTGGATACTCCGACAGTCATCAAATCCCATTGCCTCCTACAAGCTGGTTTGTAAAGAGAAGACCAACCAGCATATGCCACCACACTCACAACAAAGACACCTAAAAGATGCGGCAAAAACAGCTGCTTGTTGAACCTTCAATGTCGTGTGGTTGACAACACCATGTGTGGCTCGGAGGCAACCAACCACAGACGGGGGTTAAGATACTGAAGTTGAACAACCTGAGCCCTAATTTGGCGGAAGGTTACTTATTCGGGTTTTTTCAGCCCTCGTCTCCTGTATCCCTTTGCCTCAGTTTGGATCCTTATGACGGATACGGTACCTGGTACCAGTCAATCCAGCCATTGCAGCCGGCTACCATAGTTACATCAGCGACAGTGGCAGCAGTACCGAACACACTCAGGTTCGGCTTTGCTCGCTGAACTATGATCGGAATATTGTGAGATTAGACTTAAAACTAGCGTTAAGACGCCACGTCACACACGTGCGTATGTCACTCTCCTCCACTGTGAGGCAACAATAGGCGCCGAGCATCAGTAACATTTAGAAAATGAATCAGGGGAACCTCAATAACCCGTACCGGTGGCAACCGGAGGTACTGGATGCTTTGGAAACACGCGCCGAATGTTCAGTCGCTCGAACTGATGAGGACTGAGCTGAATCGTTACGTTGCCATTGGTATGAACGCGGGAAACACGGTAGGGACCAGAAGCCGTAGGCTTCAACTTATCACTGAGACCGACATACGCACGCTTGTAGACCAGGTCATCGACCGCGTAGTCATAGGAAATGCGTTTAGCATTGGCCCGCAGCAAACGTTTGTCAACCAAGGATTGACGATGTCGTTGCACGGCCAGGATGTCTGCATAAATAGGAATATCAAGAAACATATCTCGTTTGAAGGCAAGAGCACCAGGAGTGAGATACGCGTTCGTACTCTGCACGGAACAACGATGAGCGTGCATCGCTGTCGCCAAGGTTTCGGAAATGACCTTGATTCCATCAGCAACACTCTTGGGATCGCGCGAGACCACAATGGTTCGCAATACTTGACCAATTGCCTGATGAGTCCGTTCAATCATCGAGTTACCTTGTGGATTACGAGGGGACGAGTAGCGATGCACTGCACCATTCTTTTTCACCATCGCAATAAATTCCAGTTTGAACTCCGGACCATTGTCCGTAACCACTTTCTTGGGTCGAGGATACCGAGCAAACCACGTATCTTCGACCACTCGGGCACCTTCTTCCGACGTGCGTCGCATGATAGGCACAATGTCTATCAAGTTTGTGCAGGGATCCACCATAGTCATAGCGTTGAAAATCAACGTCCGTTGGCGTAACTCAATCTTCCACGGACCGATTGTGTCACAATGGACTTCTTGCCAGGGCGTCGCCATAGCATCACGTGGAGCAGATTCTCCATAAGCACGTCGTGCTCGTTTGTTCTTCGCACATGCTTCGCACTGCTCAATTTGTTTTCGGACTTCGTCGCGAATACCTCTATGATAGAAATGTGTCTTGATCGTTTGTTCTAAACGATCCATGCCTTCGACATGTGCCATGGACTTGTGATAGAAGCTGACCAACTTGGGAAGCAACTCTTTTGTCAGGACAATCTTGTCCTCGTCATTCTGACGAAAGCATTTCAGCTCACTGTTTCCAAACATCTTCTTGAAAAATCGTTCCGGGTTATCAACCACGATCTGTTGCAAAACTGCACTAGCTGCTTGGTACTCCGCGAGAACCGAGAAATTGAAGGGATTCCGTCCTTCACCGTCGAATGTAGGATGCTCCAGGAAAGATTCTTCCATACCGTCGTCTGGATGATGCATCAAACATTCAGCCAACCGTCGATTCTCCTCCACAATGGAATAACATCCGTCGGTAGATGTTGAGAGGGGATCGGAATCGGCACTGTCGCGATCTTCGCGAGAAGTGGGCACCCGGCTGAGGGCGTCACCAAGGACGTTCTGGGGGCCCGGCTTGTAATGAAAGGTTGGACCAAACTCTTCCAACAGCAATCGCCATCTCATAACACGTTGAGTTTGAAAAGCGGAAAGTTTGTGAGTAAGGTTCTTATGATCAGTAAACACATTGATACGAGCTCCGAGTAACATAGACCGAAACTCTTTGAAGATTTCAACGATAGAGAGCAATTCCTTTTCAATGGTAGTATAGTTCTTTTGGGCAGAATTGAGCTTGCGGGAATAGTAAGCCACAATTCCTCCGTTCTGTTTGATAGCTCCACCGAGCTGATAATCGCTAGCGTCCGTATCAATCTCGAATGGAACGTTGTGATCGGGATAGGCAAGCAGAGTGTCAGCTGCCGCCACAGCCTTCATGGCTTTGAAAGCCTGTTCTTGCTCGTCGGTCCACTCAAATTTCTTGGTACCGATTAGCTTGGTCAAGGGTACCAAGGTGTGAGAACGACGAGGCCACATATCAAACCGAGAAACGAACACAGTTGTTTGATATCAGTAGGTGCTTTCATGTCCAGAATGGCGCGCACTTTCTTCGCCATAGGCTTAACGCCGATGGGAGTCCACCAATGTCCAAGAAAATCTGTTTCTTGCACTGCCCATTCACACTTCAACGGATTGATTGTGAAACCGGCCTCCTGTAAGATCTTGAGTACTTGATCGAGCTTGTCGAGATGAGAGCGGCAATCGGAACTGAAAATACCAATGTCATCGATATAAACTTCGATGTCATCAAGAGCTTTGAGTAACTTCTCCATGATTTCTTGAGCAATATCCGGAGATTGAGAAACGCCCATAGGTAGTCGTCTGTACTTGTAAAGCCCAAAAGGGGTAGCAATGGTACACAATTCGGAACTGAAATCGTCAAGTTCGAAGGTGTAATACTGCATTGAGATATCCAACTTGGTAAGGAATGCATAGTTCTTGCGGCGAGCTAAGATATCAGCGATGCGAGGAATTGGATAAACCTTGCGTTTGATTGCTTTGTTGAGACCACGGAAATCAGAGATCCACCTGACTCGACCGTCCTTCTTTGGAATGATGAAGGTACCAGCAATCCATTCGGAACGACTTCCTTCTTCAAGAACGCCAAGGGAAACCAACCTATCCAATTCTTTCTTGAAAATGTCTTGTTGGTGATGAGGAACAGTGTAGTGTCGGCTTCGATGGGCCGAAGCTGTAGGATCAATCTCCAAACTAATTTGTCCGCCTGTGTATTTACCAAGTTCAGGACTGAACAAAGTGTCATACTTCTCAAGGACACCACGAAGGTCGTTCTGTTGTTCTTGAGAAAGATGAGTGCAGGACCGAACAACGGCGGTAATATCGGCCCCTTCATACTTAGATTCGAGGATGTGCTTGGTTTTGTAACCCAAGTCTGCTGCCTTCTCTTCTTCTTCACGAGTTGCAAAACATGAAGACTCTTTTTCGGATTCGGGGAGCATGTCGTCCAAATCGTCATCCAAGTCGTCTTCACAGCAATCCGTGGAAGCCACGGTAGGCAGAGTATCGTCATCTTCGAGATCTGCTTCAAGAAGATCAAGGAACACCGATGTAGCAGAAGGAGTCTTCTTGTCAACCGAAGACGTGGGAAAAGGTCTCATGTTGATGCTAACCTCGTCCCATGTCATCTTGTGTCCCTTGAAATCAATCTTCAATCCCATCTCAAGAAGGATGTCGCGTCCAATGATCATATCATACCGAACATTGCTCGCGGAAAAGACGCGAGCATGGGCAACATCGATGAAACGGGACTTGTAGAACTCTGGAAAACACAACCGGTCTAAGGTAACAACACGGTTCGATTTGACGTTGCCAGCCAATGTTGTGGTGGACACAACGTCGCCAATACGAGGGACTGTTCCCTTAGGCAACGCCTTTTCACTAATCCAGGTTCCACTAGAACCAGAGTCCATCAGGACTAATAACGGTCTATCAGACGGTTTATTTTGTATACTATGTAGGACGCAAAGCGCCATCGGCACCAAGTCCTTGTCCACATTGATTCCCTTAGCCGCCGCTGCATAATTCTCAAAAGCCTTTGTGGATGGTCAGTAATCGCCACCGTATCCATAGGACTCTTCATAGTCATCGTAACCTCCTGTCATGGAATCAAAGTAATGGGGCTCTTCCTGATAATACATCTCGTCTGTTTCTTCAGGAGGCGGCATGGCAGCAGCCGCAGGAACCGTAGAGGATTGTTCTTCAACGTGGAACACATCATCCTCGCGAACATCACCGTCAGCCACGTCCACGTCCACGACCACGAGGAGATGAGGCATAGCTACCACGACCGAAACGTCCGGCAAAGTTGCGCACCGGAGTAGTGTTGTTGCGTTGCTGTCCGTCTGGCTGTCCACGTTGGTATTCTCTTGGAGGACTACGATTGTACGTCCAGGTAGGAGCTCGACTCCATCCTCCACGACGGAAACGCTGGGAAGGCGGATAGTAACCAGCTCGAGGACCATCGGCTTGTCTATAGGTACGACGATAGCCAGAAGAGCGTCCACTTCTTCCAAATCCGTGGCCAGAACGACCACGAGAAAGTCCGCGACCACCACGGCCACGAGAGCCTTGTTGGCGAGCGTTGTAATTCTTTTCTTGACGAGCAAAGAAGTGAACCATTTGAACTGAGCCGATAACCGTAATGTCATGAGCAGAATCGGCAAACTTGTCTTTCCACTGGGGAAGCATCATGTTGTAAAACATCATCTTGAGAGCAGGAGCATCAAAAGGGTTCGCATTGTTTGCACCAGGAAACTTCGCCATCAAGGTATTGATGTACTCTAATCGAGACCACAGGGTCTTGCAATTGAGTTTGAAAGGCTTAGTCGCCGTCTGCAAGTATCGCGTCTGATCAGCGAGATCCGTGTCTTCAACAAACTTGGCGATGAACGATGTAACGCAGGCATCGAAGTCAGCAACCGCTGCACCAGGACGCGCTGCTCGAATCACGTTCCACTTGTCTCGAGCAGAGCCTTGAAGACACTTGACAAAGAAGTTAGCCCTCAATGTCCCGGTATCCAAATTCAATGCTGAGTTGCCGGTCACTTGATCGAACTCCTTGATGACTCGAAGGACGTGTTCCGGTTCTTGTTCGTCTGCCAGTACAATCATATCGTGCTTACGCTTGACGTTGTTGCCAGCATGTTGCCAAGAACGGAACAACTCAGTAGTCGCGACCTCACTCGCATTGTACTCCGAGACCAAGGGAATGACCGGATTCTTGCCCGACTGACCAAGCGTCGTCATGGTGAGATAATGAACCTAATAGGAAATAACAAACAACAGTACTTGCGGCTTTGTGTTAGTAAGAGTCGCAAGTAATGATAATGAAAGAAAAAGGAGTAACTTCGTATTGAGTTACACCCTTGAGTTACCGTTGTTAATAGTAATCGAGCGAATTTTCGAAATTGTTGACAATGGCCAAACGCCTAGTGCAATACACGGCTCTTAGCCTTATTCGCGACTCGATCCTAGATAGGGTTTGAGTTCGACTCATGATTGAGTCTCTCGTGAATAGTCATTTGAGACAGGGTTCTCAATGACCGCTCTAGTCATACTAGGTTGATGATGAAACATCGCTCTAGATATTTAGCCAGCGTGGAGTACTTCCACGCTACTAGATCCATGCTAGACAAATCTTCCACGCGTTCCGTTTTAGGATCGTGGAGATACGTAGGATTACTACCGCAACCTACTCTATCACACTTTATAGTCTCCCGCGGAGACCAGATCTACGATCCCTTGATGATGATCTCTCTCGTTGATTAGTTTTCATAGCTTTCTAATCTCTCTCATAACTTTCATTCTCTCAACTCAAAACACTCGAAAGATCTTTACACTAGCTTTAGCGTAGTGCATTTGTTAACAAACACAATAGCTTTCAGCTACCCTCAACCTATTCCTTCACCTGAAGATGGCTCAAGGAAAGCATGCGTTCGCAAACACGAGAAACAGTTGCGTGAAACCCATTCTTCCTCTCGTCGACAATGAGAAGAAACGAGATCGACGATACTCGTGCAACACCTGCAAACTTCGCAACCATGTTGCCAAGCGCAAATCAGAAGACTCTGATAACGAGGACAACTCCTCTATCGATTTCAATCACTTGGATGGAGAAATCTCTATCTGAGGATTAGGCCAGGATGATGATCAACGGAACCATGTTCCGATTTCTCATACCAAGTGATGAAGATATCTCACTAACTAGTAAACAAGAATTTTTGCAACCGATGAACTCTACGGCAAATTAGATGATTGCCTAAAAGCTGCTCAACTAGATCTGATGATCTATTTAGCATCGTTAACCTCGTCCATGGCCAACCACCTCGTAAACGTCGCAAGACAAGAGACCTCAAACCTATCGTCTATGTTAGATTTAACAAGCGAGAAAAAGGGAAACCAAACCCGTTACACTCCGTTGCTTACTGGATACAGGAGCATCCGGAACTTTGATTGCTCAAACTCATGCTAAGAAATTACGCATGAAGGATCTTGGGGGCGTCCAAACATGTGGACTACCCCTGCAGGAGAATTAAACACAGCACGAAGTGCAAGGTGCATTCATGATTCCTGAATTCCACGATGATAGAATTATCGAATGGGATTTACACGTCACCAAGAGCTTGGGGGCGTATGACATGATCATAGGTCGAGACATTCTCTCTGACTTAGGCTTTAAGTTCGATTTCACTACCATGTCAGTGGAGTGGGACGGCATATCTATTCCTATGAAAGATAGCGACACCAACGAAGAAAAGAACTTCTTCATTCCTGATCCTACTGCCGTTGATGACAGTGCAGATCGTCTCAAGAAGATTCTTGATGCG